GGCCCATGGCCGATGCATCGGCGATGCCTCGCCGATTCCAGGTCGGTGTTTCCCCTTCCTCCTCCTCCTCCTCCTCCTCCTCCTCCTCCTCCTTCTCCTCCTCCTCCTCCTCCTTCTCCTCCTCAGCTGGTCCCCCCCGATTGCCCTTGAGCCTGCTAAGAGCAGTCTAAAGGGCACCAAAGGCCGCCAGCATCACACTGAAGGCTGCAAGAGGCCACCAGCGTCTTCGGAACCGAGGCGGTGCATGTTAGAATGAGCTTCCAAAACGACTCGCCGAATGCAGTATATGTGAGTGTGTTTGGGTGGTTGGTGCCGACCTGACGTTGTCCCTTAGGTCGGCGCGGCAAAGGCGAGGGCGCCAGGGCAGCCGCAGAAGCTGCTTGCCGCGGAGGCGGACGCCGCGTCCACGGCGGCGGCGGCCGCGGCGCCTGACGCCGGCGCGGCCGCGCAGCCTGAGGCCGAGGCGCCGGTGGGCGCGTAGTAGGACTGGCTCGTCGTCTTGTGTTGCCTGGGGCGTTTCGTCTGAAACTCGGAGGGGGACGAGGTACCGATGATTACAGCTACCAATCCCGCGTTTTCGCCCGTCTGGGGCCTCCTTGGTGGCCTTCGTCGCCACCGCTGGGTTCGCCTCGAGATTCTGGTCAGAACGCACCTCGGGAGGCCCCCGGGAAGTAGCATGATCGGTATCTTTTCCTTTCCCCAGTTTCTGCGGAAACCTGGCGTTTTTCTGCTGGCGGCCCCCTCTCCATGTGGCTTCGTGCACACGGGGGTGGCGTGAGGGGGCATGCCGTGTGAGAAGGCGCCTTTTTAGTAAGGGTCCGTGTTCCATTGCTACCTCTAGGCCCCTTTACAAAACCTTCAAGCCCTTTCAACCCTTAAACCCTCAAGCCTCCTTGAAACAAATAAAACCCTTAAACCCCTTAGACCCCTTAAACCTTTAAACCCCTTAAACCCCTTAAACCCCTGAGGAAACCTGTCACGCTGACGCGCGCCCTGATGCTTCCGAGGCGATCTTCAGTGCACCCACCGCGTTGTCTTCCATTGTTACCTCTAGGCCCCTCTGCGAGGGCCCCCTGCCTTCTCAGCAGCTCGACCGCCTTCTTAAGAGACACGCCCCCCGTTCGCCCCCCCCCCCCCCTTGCGACCGCCCTGCTACGGGGCGCCGGCGGTGTGCTGCTCAAGAGTTTATCAAGTTCTCGGCCGCCGGCACACGATGCTGCTGTGGATGCGGTTGGTGGCGGCGAGAGCTTGCACGACCGCGGCGAGAGAAAGGGGCGGGGCACGCACGTGGCCCGAGGATCGCGCCGCAGCGGTGTGCGCACCGGCGAGTCATCGGCGCGGGAGGGATCGCGAGCGGGAGGAGCGCGGGAGCGCGCGCCTGCGGGAGCGCGCGCGGCGGAGGAGGGAGGGGAGGGGAGGGTGCAAGAGGAAGGACGAAGCTTGGCTCATTTCGATTCCTTCGATTTGATTCGATCCGATTTCGATGGATTCTGATTCCGATTCGATTCGACTTGGGATTCCGATTTGGGTTCGGAATTCTTATTGGAGCCATACGAGCCTGCCGATTCCCGCCGATTCGACTTTATTTCCTCTGATCCGATTCATTCCGATTGCCGATCCGACTTGTCGATTCGATTCTGGGTTATCCTGGGAAGAGAGAGGGGAAGCATGGCCATGAACTGCCTGCTCAGGAGGGCGTGGCAGCCCAGTGCGTCTCGTCGGGCCAGGTGGTTTGGCCTCCTCGGTCGTTTTTTTCCCCACCCGACAGGCTGGGGCTGTCAGATTTCAGGAACAGACCCCCCGGCCAACCCCACGCATACCGCGGCCGCCAGACCCCAAGGTGTCCTGAGAGTCCATGAGAATCCCTGGGGCTCCCGCCCCGCACCCTCGACAAGCACGACTGCATACCGCGGCCGCCAGACCCCAAGTTGTCCCGAGAGTCCCCGATAGTCCTTGGGGCTCCCGCCCCGCACCCTCGACAAGCACGACTGCATACCGCGGCCACGACCCCAAGTTGTCCCGAGAGTTCCCGAGTCCCTGGGAGTCCCGCCTCGCGCGTTCGACAAACATGAAATTATCCCGGCAAAGCAACCTAACAGCGATGTGTATAAGCATATATGGAAGCATTCCCCTTAAGATTCAGGTGAGAATCCAGTTGAATTCTGTTGTTCTCGCAGTCGCAGTCGCATTCGCAATGACAGTCGCAGTGGCAACGGCCTTAGGATCCAATGGAATCCTAAGGATTCCTAAGGATTCCTGAGGATGCTCAACTATGCCTACGGATTCCTAAGGATGCCTACGGATTCCTAAGGATTCCTAGGGATCCCTAAGGATTCCTATGGATTCCTATGGATTCCTGCGGATGCCTCAACCTGCCTCAGTTTCAGCCTCAGCCTCAGCCTGCCTCGGCTTGCCTCAGCCTCAGCCTCAGCCTGCCTCGGCCTCAGCCTCAGCCTGCCTCAGCCTCGGCCTCAGCCTGCCTCGGCCTCAGCCTGCGTCA